AAGTCAACATAGCCGTTCTCTAGTGATCTAGCAAGTCAACATAGCCGTTCTCTAGTGATCTAGCAAGTCAACATAGCCGGTCTCTAGTGATCTAGCAAGTCAACATAGCCGTTCTCTAGTGATCCAGCAAGTCAACATAGCCGTTCTCTAGTGATCTAGCAAGTCAACATAACTGTTCTCTAGTGATCTAGCAAGTCAACATAGCCGTTCTCTAGTGATCTAGCAAGTCAACATAGCCGTTCTCTAGTGATCTAGCAAGTCAACATAGCCGTTCTCTAGTGATCTAGCAAGTCAACATAGCCGGTCTCTAGTGCTCTAGCAAGTCAACATAGCCGTTCTCTAGTGATCTAGCAAGTCAACATGGCCGTTCTCTAGTGATCTAGCAAGTCAACATAGCCGTTCTCTAGTGATCTAGCAAGTCAACATAGCCGGTCTCTAGTGATCTAGCAAGTCAACATAGCCGGTCTCTAGTGATCTAGCAAGTCAACATAGCCGTTCTCTAGTAAGTCAACATAGCCGTTCTCTAGTGATCTAGCAAGCCAACATAGCCGTTCTCTAGTGATCCAGCAAGTCAACATAGCCGTTCTCTAGTGATCTAGCAAGTCAACATAACTGTTCTCTAGTGATCTAGCAAGTCAACATAGCCGTTCTCTAGTGATCTAGCAAGTCAACATAGCCGTTCTCTAGTGATCTAGCAAGTCAACATAGCCGTTCTCTAGTGATCTAGCAAGTCAACATAGCCGTTCTCTAGTGATCTAGCAAGTCAACATAGCCGGTCTCTAGTGATCTAGCAAGTCAACATAGCCGGTCTCTAGTGATCTAGCAAGTCAACATAGCCGTTCTCTAGTGATCTAGCAAGTCAACATAGCCGTTCTCTAGTGATCTAGCAAGTCAACATAGCCGTTCTCTAGTGATCTAGCAAGTCAACATAGCCGTTCTCTAGTAAGTCAACATAGCCGTTCTCTAGTGATCTAGCAAGTCAACATAGCAGTTCTCTAGTGATCTAGCAAGTCAACATAGCCGTTCTCTAGTGATCTAGCAAGTCAACATAGCCCTTCTCTAGTAAGTCAACATAGCCGTTCTCTAGTGATCTAGCAAGTCAACATATCCGTTCTCTAGTGATCTAGCAAGTCAACATAGCCGTTCTCTAGTGATCTAGCAAGTCAACATAACTGTTCTCTAGTGATCTAGCAAGTCAACATAGCCGTTCTCTAGTGATCTAGCAAGTCAACATAGCCCTTCTCTAGTGATCTAGCAAGTCAACATAGCCGTTCTCTAGTGATCTAGCAAGTCAACATAGCCGTTCTCTAGTGATCTAGCAAGTCAACATAACCGTTCTCTAGTGATCTAGCAAGTCAACATAGCCGTTCTCTAGTGATCTAGCAAGTCAACATAGCCGTTCTCTAGTGATCTAGCAAGTCAACATAGCCGGTCTCTAGTGATCTAGCAAGTCAACATAGCCGTTCTCTAGTAAGTCAACATAGCCGTTCTCTAGTGATCTAGCAAGTCAACATAGCCGTTCTCTAGTGATCTAGCAAGTCAACATAGCCGGTCTCTAGTGATCTAGCAAGTCAACATAGCCGTTCTCTAGTAAGTCAACATAGCCGTTCTCTAGTGATCTAGCAAGTCAACATAGCCGTTCTCTAGTGATCTAGCAAGTCAACATAGCCGTTCTCTAGTGATCCAGCAAGTCAACATAGCCGTTCTCTAGTGATCTAGCAAGTCAACATAGCCGTTCTCTAGTGATCTAGCAAGTCAACATAGCCGGTCTCTAGTAAGTCAACATAGCCGTTCTCTAGTGATCTAGCAAGTCAACATAGCAGTTCTCTAGTGATCTAGCAAGTCAACATAGGCGTTCTCTAGTGATCTAGCAAGTCAACATCGCCGTTCTCTAGTGATCTAGCAAGTCAACATAGCCGTTCTCTAGTGATCTAGCAAGTCAACATAGCCGTTCTCTAGTGATCTAGCAAGTCAACATCGCCGTTCTCTAGTGATCAAGCAAGTCAACATAGCCGTTCTCTAGTGATCTAGCAAGTCAACATCGCCGTTCTCTAGTGATCAAGCAAGTCAACATAGCCGTTCTCTAGTGATCTAGCAAGTCAACATAGCCGTTCTCTAGTGATCTAGCAGGTCAACATAGCCGTTCTCTAGTGATCTAGCAAGTCAACATAGCCGTTCTCTAGTGATCTAGCAAGTCAACATAGCCGTTCTCTAGTGATCTAGCAAGTCAACATAGCCGTTCTCTAGTGATCTAGCAAGTCAACATAGCCGTTCTCTAGTGTGTGGGATGTGCTTCTATTTCTGGAAAAATAAGACAATACATCAAAAGATATAGAATAATTCATAAACCATTACATCATTGCTGGATATGAATGCATCAGTTCATTCTGACACATGTCATACATTTACTTGATGATAAGAAGAATGATATTCCATGCAGGTATTAGAAAACCTTCATTCCTCTGCCCGCGGCTGTCCGTACTGTCTTGAGAACAGAGGCGTCCATTATCACCTTACTCTTTGATCAGCTTGATAGAAGTAGACATCAAGGATAATGACACAAATCAGAATTAGCAGCTACATTGCATTTGCTTAAATTGCATCTAGTTTAAGCCCGCCTCCGTGGTCTAGTGGTAGAGTGGGTGCCCGGAGAGTGGAAGGTCCGGGGTTCGATCCCCGGCCGCGTCATACCAAAAGACATTAAAAGATGGTACTTGTTGTTACCCTGTCTGGCATTAAGGGACTAAAACAAGGACTGGTCGGCTCGGAGTCAGTAAACAGCAGCATGGTATCTCAGAGGGCTAGCACTATAAATCGGCATCAGTCCAGACTAGTACAAGCAGCAATGTCGGGGGCCTGTGCAGATATATACTCCTCACGGGTTCTATAGGCTAACAAAAAACAGACTCAAAACCATCATCGAATTGTAGGAGATTCTAACTATATCTCCTTGTACATTTTGACGATTTCTTTTTACAATTTATTTGGACATATTTCTCATTAAGAGATTGAAGCCTCAAAAGTGCAGCAACGCTCTTGGAGTCCATACACTTAACTCTGAAATCTCGAAGCTTACTCGCTTAAATCAGCGTTTACACTCTTACTTTGAAAAAAAGAATTGCTACAGAATTACCATAGATTTCTTCTCTTTATGTTTTTATGTTGAAACTCAACACCAGTCAAGCCAAGTTCAAAAGGACGCCGTCCTCGTTATTGAAATATGGTAACTATCACAATCCGAACACTCAAACATCTGGCCTGCCGAACATGGGCCCCTGTGTGCAGTATACAGCACCACTTGCCATCATTGAATCCATAAAACTTTATTCAATGGCTTTCGTGTGCTTACACTTACAACCTGCCAGAAGACTGTAATATCATGCACATCGGGTTCTTGCACTGAGACAGAGAAGAGCGCTACTAAAAATAGCATTACACCCAAAATTATTCAAGAAACTCTCTCTCTGTAGCGTTGTGGTTGTAGGAAAGTGCCCATTGATGATTTCACCAATGCGCCTGATTCATACGCGTGCCTCTGTGGTGTTGTAAAGGTCTGTAGACAAGAGTGTAAATAACTGAAAGGATACAATGTGACTGTTCTTGACCATGAAAAGCGTATATATGACTTACTTCAGTGAGACAAATCCTTCCAGAAATAAACGTGGATTCAGCTGTACTCAATGGAATCAATGTTCTTGGAGCAAATGAGCAGACAGTTCAGGCTCAGGAAACGACAGCACAGATTGCCCCTGAGAAGAAAGTAACTGATATGACATCTTTAGATCTGTAAGGGAATCTGTGCTCTCGTAGAGGTTGTAGGTCCTGATTTATGAGAGTGGTGAGCTGTCGAGAGAGATCCCTGTAATATTTATGATGAAAATTCGCTGACAATAGAGTGAAATAAGATTGGATGCACTAAGTCACAAATGGCGTTGGATGTAACGACATCAGTTACATGACACAGTGTTGGCATAATGTTGGGATCCTAAAGTGATGCATGTAAAGACGATCAAGTGCTACCTCCTGCCCTATGATGCAAGACCCCACTGAATAGTTTCTTTGTCTCAATATTTGACATCAAATGGGTATGAAAGTTGAACTTGCTTGTCTGTCTCCAGATCCTAAAACACAGCTTAGCATAACATGGTTATCCAAAGAATCAACATTTTGTGTAATTGTTGTTTTATAATAAATATCTTCAAGCTATATGATGGTGGTCTGTAAATAATCGGATCTGGACCAGTCAATTTCGTGATTGACATCATGAACATCGATCCACACAACCTGATGACAAGGCATGAATCAAGTAACCGATCCATTTGTCGCCTTCTACGACAAGCATAGGCTTCGTGGGACCCGGAGAATCAACCAGGCTTAATTACTTGATACCAGTCCTGCAGCTCATTGTTTGATCGTTTAGATCGCTTTAAGAAAGTTCTATATGTCTCAGACTTGTACAATACTCCTTGTTGACATTTATATTGAAAGAGGTGCTCTGTGGCCATTGGTTTATGTGACATTATTAAAAGTAGGTGTGAAACTAGAGTGCAGTTTGGCGTTTTTGTGAAACAAGACTGCAGTGTGGCGTTTTTGTGAAACGAGAGTGCAGAGGATCCTTTGTGTGAAACGAGAGTGCAGTGGGGCATTTGTGTGAAACTAGAATGCAGTGGAGCCTTTGTGTGAAACGAGAGTGCAGTGGGGTGTGTGTGAAACGAGAGTGCAGTGGGGCATTTGTGTGAAACTAGAGTGCAGTGGGGCATTTGTGTGAAACGAGAGAGCAGTGGGGTGTGTGAAACGAGAGTGCAATGGATCCTTTGTGTGAAACGAGAGAGCAGTGGGGTGTGTGAGACGAGAGTGCAGTGGGGCATTTGTGTGAAACTAGAGTGCAGTGGAGCCTTTGTGTGAAACGAGAGTGCAGTTGGGTGTGTGGGAAACGAGAGTGCATTGGGGTGTGTGTGAAACGAGAGTGCAGTGGGGCATTTGTGTGAAACGAGAGTGCAATGGATCCTTTGTGTGAAACGAGAGTGCAGTGGGGTGTGTGTGAAACGAGAGTGCAGTGGGGCCTTTGTGTGAAACGAGAGAGCAGTGGGGTGTGTGAGACGAGAGTGCAGTGGGGCATTTGTGTGAAACGAGAGAGCAGTGGGGTGTGTGAAACGAGAGTGCAGTGGATCCTTTGTGTGAAACGAGAGAGCAGTGGGGTGTGTGAAACGAGAGTGCAGTGGATCCTTTGTGTGAAACGAGAGAGCAGTGGGGTGTGTGAGACGAGAGTGCAGTGGGGCATTTGTGTGAAACGAGAGAGCAGTGGGGTGTGTGAGACGAGAGTGCAGTGGGGCATTTGTGTGAAACGAGAGTGCAGTGGGGTGTGTGAGACGAGAGTGCAGTGGGGCATTTGTGTGAAACGAGAGAGCAGTGGGGTGTGGGAGACGAGAGTGCAGTGGGGCATTTGTGTGAAACGAGAGAGCAGTGGGGTGTGGGAGACGAGAGTGCAGTGGGACATTTGTGTGAAACGAGAGAGCAGTGGGGTGTGTGAGACGAGAGTGCAGTGGGGCATTTGTGTGAAACGAGAGAGCAGTGGGGTGTGGGAGACGAGAGTGCAGTGGGGCATTTGTGTGAAACGAGAGAGCAGTGGGGTGTGGGAGACGAGAGTGCAGTGGGGCATTTGTGTGAAACGAGAGAACAGTGGGGTGTGTGAGACGAGAGTGCAGTGGATCCTTTGTGTGAAACGAGAGGGCAGTGGGGTGTGTGAAACGAGAGTGCAGTGGATCCTTTGTGTGAAACGAGAGAGCAGTGGGGTGTGTGAGACGAGAGTGCAGTGGGGCATTTGTGTGAAACGAGAGAGCAGTGGGGTGTGTGAGACGAGAGTGCAGTGGGGCATTTGTGTGAAACGAGAGTGCAGTGGGGTGTGTGAGACGAGAGTGCAGTGGGGCATTTGTGTGAAACGAGAGAGCAGTGGGGTGTGGGAGACGAGAGTGCAGTGGGGCATTTGTGTGAAACGAGAGAGCAGTGGGGTGTGGGAGACGAGAGTGCAGTAGGGCATTTGTGTGAAATGAGAGAGCAGTGGGGTGTGTGTGAAACGAGAGTGCAGTGGATCCTTTGTGTGAAACGAGAGAGCAGTGGGGTGTCTGTGTGAAACTAGAGTGCAGTGGATCCTTTGTGTGAAACGAGAGTGCAGTGGGGTGTGTGTGTGAAACTAGAGTGCAGTGTGGCCTTTGTGTGAAACGAGAGTGCAGTGGGGTGTTTGTGTGAAACTATAGTGTTTTATATGTACTCCCTTACTGAGTGGCTGATTAGGTTAGATCGCTGACTTTGTGTGCTGGCGATTAGGTGCCTCACTCTAGTAGTGTGTGTTCGAATCCCTGATGGAATTCAACCCCAAAAAGTATGAGAATCTGTACTTTACTGAGAAAGTGTTATCCCCAAAATAACATTTGTTCCCTTAGTACCTTTTAAGACAGATTTTCAAAGATAAAAATATAACTCTCTAACATCCATATAATGAAAAAATGCATGTATATTGTATTGTTGTTTATATGTTATTTGTTTTAAACTTTTGATGTTTTAATTCAATAATTTCAAGCTATGTTTGGAAAACAAATTCGAAATGTTATTTCTAGGCCTTTTTCTCTTGTATCAAAATATCAATTTATAGTTTTTTTCAAATCAAGGCCAAAAATACACGTATGAGCAATTTCTCAAAGTATCTCTGAAGCTAATTTTCTTTGAAACGTTTGGTTCATTAAATCTATGTTTGGCAGGCACTTCAATTACGCGAAGAGATTCCCGCATCATGGTGTCGACATATATATCAGAAAAGACAATATTTCCTTTAATAATGCATGACCAATTGACTGTATAATGCCCAGAATGGCCCCATTCCAATAATTACGAAACCTCTGTCTCTCCTGGATAACTGTAGAATGTCACTTTGTGAAGACGGGGGTCATTATTTAACTTAACTTGTCATATTGTATTTGCTCAAGTGCAGACTCTTTTATTTAATGCCATATTCGTTTTGTAGATTCTTTTCTATAACCAGGATTTATAGAAATGGTCAAGATGAGCATTCGGGGTTTAGTGTTTGTTGGGGATACCGACCTAAACAAAGTTAAATTGACAATGTCTTCATTAAAATCTAATTCAGGAAAACGTGCATACATAAATACAAGCGACAACATCATGTCTATATTCATTGCTAAGAGCTAATGGCAGGAACACAACCAAACCCCAAGAGCCTAAAGGTGTAGTTTACTAAATTGACTGCAACTGTGGACAATCTTACGTAGGTGAAACATCCCGCCCCATCAACACCAGAATCAAAGACTACAAAACCTCAAACATTAAATCCGACAGCAAATCAGCCATCTCGGACCATATCAGCAACTGTCCTAATCATAACATCAACTTGGACAACGTCCAAATCCTCTCCAACATTCTCCATGATTTCACCCAAAGAAAACTAACAGAAGCAGTCCACATTCGCCGACACAAGCCATTAATCAAGGTTATTGCATCCCATCCGCTTACTATGAACTTATCAAGGAATAATAACTTATCCTGTTTAATTGGCTTCATGTCACATTGGCTTCCACCTATGTCTTCTCTGTCCATCGTGTTTTGACAGTATCATCCTTCTGTTGTCAACACTTACTCATGTTATCCCACTCATGTATGCAATTGTTGTTACTGTTAATCCTCCACCTACTATATATATTACTATGTCCCTCATTCAGTCTTATCCAAGAATCCTATCAACAACAGTGCTTGTTACGGGATCCATATCAACAGCTCCAAACCCCAAGCACTTTCAGTTCGCTTGCCTGATGGTCAGTCAGTATTCACGGCTGAATTGGAGGCATATCATCATGCACTCATACTCATACCGGAACTTCCGGAAGCAAAGGCAGTCGTCCTATCAGACTCGTTAAGTGCACTTCAGGCCATCAGTGGCAGAAACTCAAACTCCAGGCCAAACACAGTCAACAATATTCTATACGAATATACAAAACTATCGGACGAAGGGCAACAGGTGGAGCTGTGTTGGATCCCCTCTCACATAGATATTCATGGAAATGAAAAAGCAGACTCACTGGCGAAGCTAGCTATAGACAAAGTGGATATACAGCCTATTCCCTTTAGTAAACTAGAGATAAAAAGCAAAATTAAAGCCTCCATAGCAGAAAGATGGCAAGTCCAATGGGACGCAAGTAAGATCGGCAGATGGCTATACAAAATTCAACCCACGGTCCAACAAAAGCCAAACTCATTCTCAAATGAAAGGAAAATTGAAATTGCTATCTCACGCCTCAGACGCGGTCACAAAAAGCACTATGACAAGGTTTGTTCATCTTGCAATCAGGCTGAAACCATTGATCACGTGTTACTAGAATGTCAAGACCATGCCCCAGCCCGGGCTAGGTTAAAACAAGAATTGCAGTTGGATCCGCTATCTGTCATAGATCTCCTAAAGCCAAGAGATGCAATAGCGAAGGCCAAACTAACTCTATTTCTAAGAGATGGACAGCTACTCGAACGTATATAAACAGAGCAGCCAAGGATAGAAATGAAATCATATCAATATAAGAAAATAGAAATCATATCAATACAAAAACAGAAATTATGTGAACACCAAACTCACAATAGATATGTGTACCCTACTCACACACAGGAGTCCCAAAGACGAACAGGTCAGCCGAAATTGCCTAGGCAGAAGGCACCCTCTTAAACACTTAATGCAACAACAACATTCATTCAGTCTTGTTTGACAACGGTATAAGGATTTATACCGAAACGTCGCTTTTTACAGCAGTAAAGAATTTGTTGTCCATACAATTGTGTTTACCTTGTCATTTCTATATTCATCAGAAATATCTGCCCTAAACAGTCGATTGTACGCTTCCCACTTATTCATGAGCATGTGTTAATGACTCACCTTCAAATACTTACGACACAAGGTGTTCAGGGAAGGGTTAGCTGATCCTGTCCCACTGGTGCCATCCGTCACATACACGTGAAAAGGCAAGTCAATTGTTCTCCTATAAAAACAACAACACGAGAACATTAAATGGTACAAGTCAAAAGAAGGAATTGCATCGGACATCATTTTTGTCACTGATGCATCAAATTTGAAAATGTCCTGCACATGCCTACTATAACACGTTTTGAAAGTTTTACTAAGGCCTTGCATGATGTGTCGCTGATCAAACAACTTTTGAGCAGATCTTGTAACTTGAAATATTTGTAGAAAGAGCCTACTCGATTATACTTCAAAAGTTATGCAACCAAAGCTGGTACCTGGAGAATGTTGCTCGACATTCAAGAGGGATGACGATTGGAAAGTTGAAGTCATCCTTCTTGGCACACAGTGTTGTGGAGAGTGTTTTTTCACTCTGAATCTTTAAGCATAGATCTAAATGTGAAATAGATGAAGGTTTCATGGGTTCTTTTCTTTCTACCCCAGGTGGATAAATCAGTGGAAGTAAATAAGCTATTATATCAGATCATCGATATACCTGAAGTTGAAGTTAAACCTCTTGGCCTAATAGATGAATGTCCCACACGTGAAGGAATGAAAGTTTGTCGTGTTGGATAGTGGAGATCACAGTTAAAATTAAATGTTTTGACATGGTAGTAATTGATCTGGTGTCATTTTTGCAAATCCTTTTAGTTTTTGTGTTTTGAGAATCCACAATGTATTACCTCCACTATCTTTTAATTTAAAGAAAGTCATTCCTCGATTATATCGACAATTATTGTTAATATTTGAAACATTGATATGGTGGTACATGCTGGTCCCGGAAATATATTTCTCGTTGTTCAGATTGTATAGAGTTTTAGAGCACAATACGACAGAGCCTAGTTTGTCCCTTGTAAGCCGACGCAACAGACGGTGGAAACTCATCACTTACTCGCCTTTTCAGGACCTCGTTAATATAATTATCACCCCAACAATATACACTGCTATCAACTCATGCAACCTCACATGAGATCAGTAGTTTAAAGACATGTAATGGTCAAAATGTTGAAAGTGGGTAGTTGTTCAAAAACTACAAAAATCCAGTCTGTTAAAATGATGAAAAAGTGCACTGAAGAAAACGAAGAGGATGCAGATGAAAGTTACCACCTCCATCACGCTAACATTATCCAGTTGATGATTAAACTGAATTACTTGGTTGCAATTCTGGTTCCTGGTTTCACACTTATCAACTGAGCTTCCCGAACTCAACAGGTGAGAAATGTGTCCCTGTGAAGTTTCCATAGTGAGCGGTGGTCACGTGTCCATGAATGTACAATGTGAGTGGTTTACAGTACTTGCTGAAAGCTGATGACCGCCACTGTATAAACAGCCAATGTGAAGCGGTGTTTATGCTCTCAATGGCGTCATTTCACTGAAATCTATGATGTAACACACTTTCCATAGAAAGAAAGCACATAAAAGTCGTTGTTTATGTTCTTAATTACTGATTTCTAATGAACGTCCCCTACCTTCCTGGAGTTGGCATTCGCAGTCGAGTCTATAATCTATACAAATTGCCCACAACCTGATGCTGTGATGGTAGCCACGGCTGTTGATCCACGGTAGCACGTCACTTTAAGGGGTTTAGCGTGGTCGTTTCCGAGTAATCATGAGACCGAGCCACGGGTTTATTGTTGCATTAACAGTGATGGACACTTTCCATTATAAGTACAAGGGGAGTATTACAGGACTTATTTCATGCACCATTACCATAAATAGTTGACCTCTGAGGAAACATAACTCGTCGATGCAGAATTACCCGCAGGAACCAGATTCCACTGGGCGTAAAAGGCAAAATGATAAACATAGTAAAACCTACATGGCTGGATCACTGAACATCAGTGGTGAAGAACATTAACGTCTATCTTCGTGTCATTGATCGCAGCAAATATATCATTATGGCATGTATCTGAACGTTGGCTAGTTTGTCGTGTAATTATATTGTACTAATTGAAACGGGGACTGCTTCATGACATGAAGGACAGACACCGGTGTTGTTCGCAGTTACAGCCACGTTTA